ATGACACAGAATGTCTAACTACTAATGTCCTTCCGACCTTGATGCAGGACCCGTGATATAAATGCCTGGGCCAGCTCGATCGATTAAATAAGCCCCTATATTAGTTCTATGGTCGAAGTAGTTGAGGTGTTTCAGAACAAGGGGTAGCATTTTCATTGAAACTGTAAGTTCAAGAGAAGTCACTTTTAATGGATTAATAAAATTGATAAAATTGTTACTTCATCATTTTGCACCCTGAAATGGTTTTAAAAGGAATCCAACGATTTGTCGATTGCAGTCATTATAAGTCTATTTTAAAACTTTCTTTTCCTTGCTCTTCGATGAAAAATATCCGGTTTAATGGCTATAAACAAAATGTTGTACCTCTAAAAATATTTAAGAAAGAAAATAAAAATGACAAACCGACTTTTCGAGCTACAAACAATCAGCACGAAGATGATTCGCCGAAAACGGATGTATAGGAAAAATCTTATGCTTGTCTGCTCAGCTTGCTTTAATTCCTGATTACTGTCATTTGCAAAGCATTTCTGTACTCCTATGCAAAACATTTCTATATAAAAACATTTACAAAACACCGCTTATAACCGTTTTGGTACAGACTTAATTGACAACAATGAATTCAAACATAAAAAAAAAAAAATGCATAAAGAAAGAAGTATCTGTCTATTTCTGAGATGAGGTATTATGTACACTATTTACATTGTCCAGACTATTGTCCTCATCTTTGTTGTCATATTTATCACAACGTTTCGGCCGTTGCACGCCGGCCTTTTTCAGGTGGTTGGAATGTCGAACAGGAGATAACTGATAACTGACGTCCATTAGACATGGCATGTGGAACTAGAACAGTCTACCCGAGCGAGAGAAATAAATGGTTCAGTTCGACATTCCAACCACCTGAAGAAGGCCGGAGCGTTGTGATAAATATGGCAACAAAGATGAGGACAATAGTCCGAACAATGTAAATAGTGTAAAGAAAGAAGTAATACAATATGGTGGACATTAATAAGTAAACGAAGATAAATGACAATATGGCATCAACAACAGTAGCAGTAAGAAAAGAGAAACGGCACTGAAAGCAATCAAGAATGATCAACAGCGTCTCATCAGGTAGATTTGGTTTAAGGTTCTAGACTCAGGATTGTACCACTTAACAATAGTCTAGTGGATTAAAGCGTTTGTTCGGGAATGTAGTGAAGTAATAATTAGGGGTTTAAATACCTGGGTCAGGTAGTGCAGATTTAGATTCAGTGGAAACGTGGCAAGCAATAACTGAGTAGTTTGTTTAACGCCATATCAACACCTTATATCTCATTTAATACTGAAATTTTATTTTCTTGTGAGCGTTGCTATTTTTTTCCCCAAAAAAATGTATTGCTGGTAATTTTTTTTCCTCCCAATAATGTATTGCTGGTAATTTTTTCTAATATATGTTTATATTTTCAGGTTTTGAGCCCATTTTTTTTTCTTGGGGGGGGGTCCCTATTTGCCCATAGCTGGTACCCTAACAGGTGCTACCACCTTGGTTCAGGGTAGACCTGGGAACAACTCAATTAAGAGGTGGTTCTACGCTCTTGAAAACCTCCCGATCTACCTGATGTAGTTTATCGACATATTCCCGGACGAAGTAATAAATAAGAATTAGACAAGATGTCCCTAGACATAGACAGCCTCTGTCTAATAGGGAATAAGGACAATCCTGAAGATTACGTAGATCGACAAGCACGGGCCGGAGTACACAATGACTGAAACATTGTGATAACAACAACAAAAATGGGAATTATACATGTAAATAGAGATAATCCCTTATCACAAAAATTCAAACATATCAAAATAAAAAAAAAAGAACAATTTTTGCATTTATAAAGTAATCATTAACATTTAATTATACGTAGGTAATCAAGTTTATACGTAATTATTCAAGCAGTAAATGTTATGTAAAACTGTATAAAATGAACCCAAGCAGTGTCAAATGAAATTCGAGCTCTGTTCGCTCATTTTATTTTTCTGGTATTGAAAACCATTACGCCTCTTGATATCGCCTTTCTTAAATTATTTCGTGATTTAAGAAAAAAAAAACTTGTTTCCGGCTCTTTAGTCATTGTCGGTTCCATCGACTGACGCCCATAGTCTTCCTCTGTCTAGCTCTACGCCATTTCAGTCAACCATTATTTTGTGCCTAATCTGAATTTGGCGTTCTCCGTTTCTCGTCTAAGTCGGAGACCTTATCCTCGGCTCCAGCGATAAACAATTCCGACCTCCTTCACAAAAGGAAGTCCGTGGCTGTGGGAACGTGTGGCCGGGTATGTTCTCTCACTGAACAGAAGAAGAAGGAGAAAAATATCTGTTGTACTCACTTTCAGTATTTTCGTCCACGTGTATTCCCCCCCCCCCTTCTTTTCAACTCTTTCCGTCGTAAGCGAATTTAGCTGGTGAGCATGAGTTTTTGGCTTGGTGACTGATATAAAGAGACACGAGAATAGAGTAAAGGGAGGTGTGTGTATGCGTGAGTTCAGAAAACTATGCGGCGGACAGATTAAGGAACGTCTAGCTAACGGGAATATCTACGTGCGTCTACGTGTGACTTGGGTTACCAGCAGTCCGGCAAAATGTTGTATTGTGTTGTATTTTGATGCTGAATGACGTGTTACGCATAAACTGGGATCGGGACATGTTTCTGTCCAACATTCTGTGAATCGATGATTATTTAAAAAAATGACGCATAAATTTTGCCTTTTTTTTTCTTTTTTTTTAACAAAAAAAAAAAAAAAAAAAAAAAAAAAAAGAAAAAAGATTTACTTAACCCTTTCAGACCTGTGTTCCTGGGCAGTTTAAGTCTTTTGCTTGAGCTCCCGAGTCATAACTTGCAAAGTGTGTAATGTTTCACGGTAGATATAAAAGTAGTTACAAGTGTTTACCCACCGCTCAACCGGTTGCTGGGCATTAAGTCATTTTTCTCTACCACCGGTAAAGCGGTAAAGGGTTGATAAATACGAATGAGTGGAATATGTGCGAAATCATGTCTACTTCTTTCCCCCGCCTCTCTCTCTCTCTCTCTCCTTCCCTCTCCTCATCGTTCTCTTTTCTCCCTCCCTCCACTCATCGCTCTCTTTTCTCCCTCCCTCCACTCATCGCTCTCTTTCTCCCTCCTTCTCATCGCTCTTTCTCTCTCCTTCCTCTCCTCATCGTTCTCTTTTCTCCCTCCCTCTACTCATCCTTTCTTTTCTCCCTCCCTCCCTCTCCTCATCGCTCTCTTTTCTCTCTCCTTCCCTCTCCTCATCGCTCTCTTTTCTCTCTCCTTCCCTCTCCTCATCGCTCTCTTTTCTCTCTCCTTCCCTCTCCTCATCCCTCTCTTTTCTCCCTCCCTCCACTCATCCCTCTCTTTTCTCCCTCCCTCCTTCTTCTCATCGCTCTCTTTTCTCCCTCCCTCCCTCTTCTCTCTCAGAACAATATCACATTGAAACACCGGTAACCCTAAGATCACCGAAGTTAAGCAACGTCAAGCCGAGTCAGATCCTAGATGGGAAAACGCTTGGGAATACCAGTTGCTGTACTCTTGGATGTGCGGGTGGTGTAAATGATAATGGCTTGGAATTGTTAATCGCAGAGTTGTTTTCCAATTCTAGTTGGGTTTGTTATATTTACTTACGCACAAATAACCCTTGGGGAAAGGTATGAATCCACCTCTTCTACCCCCAGCTATGGGTTAATCCGTCAGACTTGTATCTATAAACCATTATTATCCCCCCCCGCAATTCTTACAACCTAGAAATATTCTCTAGCTTTAAATAACCTGCAAAGTGCTGATAAGCCTTAAAAAATAATTCACTCAGTCAATCAATCTCTCTATCTTCTCTTCTCTCTTCCTTTTCCTCTCCTCCTCTCTCTTTTCTCTCTCAGACTGAGATTCCATGTCCAAATAACAAACTGATTTCTTTCAGTATTGTAGGTTCATGTACATCTGGCTGAGAATCTACCCTAACGGAGTCCATGGAATGCTTAGGAATCTGTCTACGAGGTCCCCGGCCTCCTGGTCGGGAAAACCCACACACTCGCCATGTATTTTAAATTTAGGGAGCTGGCAATCATTCGTTTGACCACGTTATTAATAGATGGAATATATGAAGTATATTGGGAAAGTATTCAGCCATATTGTAATATGCATATGTGTATACTACATAGGCGTTTGCAAAGTCATAGGCAGACAGTGTGCGACGGACAGAGAATCAGTACTTATTTTATAATATAGGTTAGAAAAGCTTGGGTTCTGTAGCCTTAGTTGGCAACCAGTCTAGAAGAAGGACCATTCTAAATTCAAAGCCTGCTGGGTGTAAGGCTAGCAACTTACTTGCTACCGCGGTTTTAGTAGAATCACATAGCGTAGTAAAGATATGTCTCTGTTACTTTTAATCAATTCACCCCAAAGACTCTGCCAGTGTAAGAGGATTAAATGACTTTTGAAGGAAACGGAAACCCAGTCCTAAACAAGGAATAAAAAATTAAAAAACCCCGAGGAGGAGGGTGAACTGAATGATGGGAGAGCCTTTCTACCCATATCGAGGAGAAAAATAATAATCGTTTTGACATCTAAGATTTCAGACGGGGACGTTAGAAGTATACAGTTGAAATAAACTTTAGAAGGAACGGGAAGCCTAATCCTAAAAATTAAAAAAAAAAAATGGTTAAAATCTACTCCTGTTCAAAAGACCCGGGAGAAATGTCGGTTGGTTGTTTCGTTTTCTATGGCTTATTAACTATGCAGGTTATTTAAAGCCAGAAAATACTTTTAGAATTTCTGGATTTCTTATGTAGATAATAACGGTTTATTGATACAAGCCTTACTAATTAATCCATAGCTGGAGGAGAAAGGGTGGATTTATACCTTTCCCAAGGGTATTAGTGTGTAAGTGAAAATAACAAACTTAACGGGAATCGGAAATCGGTTCTACAATTAACAATCCCGAGACATTATCCATTATCCCCCCCCTGCACATCCAATCATACAGCATCTCATCTTCCCAAGTGGTCACCCATCGAGTTACTGACCAGACTCGACGTTGCTTAACTTTGGTGATCATACAGGAACTGATGTTTCAACGTGATATTGTTTTACGGAAGGTTACTGAGAATTCCATGGGCAGTGCACATAAGCAACGCGAGTGTTTTAATGAAAATAGAAACAAAAAGAACACTTATAATTAGAAATTTTTAGGTCAAATACTAAGGAAGGAAAGAAGGCTTGGCAATTTAACACTCTCAGGGTGTAGTGAAGGTAAGAGAGCCAGTGGAAAATAGCGTATAACCTACTTAACAAGCCCATGTAAATGAATGACAAAACAGAGAATGAAGGCGTAGCGAAGAAACAACGAAAAGGAAGTTGTGGAGAGTCATGATCACCCATTTCTTGAAGGGACACGACACATAAACGAGAGTAGTCCGATAACATAAAATCACGAATAAAAGTAATTTTACGTGTTCCTCATGTAGATACCCCCGTGGAGTAAAGGGTTCACTAAGGTGGGTGTTGCTGTGAGCAAGAAGGTATAGGGTGGGGCTGCTAGCTCTCCACCCAGCTGGTTTTGAATCCAGTTTTATTTCTAGAGAACCCAGTCGATTCTGTTATTAACCTCTGTGTAGTGGGGGGAAAAGAGGCCTAAGTTCCGAAAGGTATCTTTGCGAAAAACAATTACAACAGACTCGGCGAGTATTTGAACCCGACACGCCAAGCCTGTTTTTCGCGCCAATAACCGTACGCAACGTACACGCCCTTGTACAGTTATATATAATGGAAATAGTAAAACATTCTTAAAAACATAAAATTAGCTAAAATCAACATAAAGTTTCGGTTTCGTACTCCGGTCTTCATCAGGTGTATTTCGATTCGAGTAACTTCTAGGTAAGTCCGAACAGAACCTTTTTAGTTAATCTATAGTGGGTAGACTGTTCTCGTTCTAATGTCCATGTTTAGGGATATCTCGTCTAGTTCTTATTTTTAGTACTGATCAGCTCATTGCTCCCTTGCTTTCACCGAGTTCAAGTACACACTCCCCAGACCAGAGATTGAACCTTCAATTATTATGTCACCAAATTCGCGAGCCAGCGTTTTAATCCACTTGGATAATTCTGTGGCGAAATGGAGCGTTAAATCTAATTTCCCTGCTGTTGATGCTTGATTCCATTAACCGAAGTTTTTCTCTTGTTTTAGATGCTACTGTTGAAAACTTGCTGTCATTTTTTTGTTCTTTCTTTCTTTCTTTTGTGGTGTTAGAACTCTCAGTCGTAACTTCCGACTCGTTATCACTTCCGTAAATGCTCGTTGTAAGCGAGACTTTGTAACGTAGGCACTGGTAGTAGTAGCCTTCAAATAATACTCGCACGAGTAATACTTGTTCAAATAGTAATCGCCGAATAGTATAAAGATCAGTATAGAGAAATAGTATAGTGGATAGAGTAGAGAATAGCGATCTGTATAGTAATAGAGGATAGGGTAGAAATAGTGATCAGTACTAGTGTAGTTCGTCGTGAACGTTACGCTACTTCCCATTTATACATTTTCTTATGATCACTTGATCTACTTAATTAAATAATTGAATCGGCCGTGTTTATTCACTGGCGATCTATTTTCAAACTACAGTGTCGCTAGCGACACTTTCCTCCTAGACAACACTTTCTTAACGAGCGGCTCCCACATCGTATTTATTTCTATGCTAGGCCTACTAAGGAGATCCTCATAGCCTAACATATGCGCTTATTCTTTTAGATGTCTAGCTCAACAGTGTTTTTTCCTTCTCCTGTATTTTCATTTCATTTTACAGGGACTGATGACTACCCCTTTTCCGGCATATATGATTAGCCATGCCTGATTTAATTGTCTCACTCCTCAGTACGGTTTTTCGAAGTACCACCAATCTTATTTTAGTGGGTGGCTTTGTCTCACATTTGTATTCAATAGTCCGCATGTAAATATAGTAAATATTGATAACTCCTCATCTCAGAAATTCACACAGATGGCGTTCAGGGGATAATAACAACAAAAATGAGGACAATAGTCCAAATATAAATAGTGTAAATAATGATAACTCCTCATTCCGAAAATTCAGACAGAAATTTCCTAAGACTGTTGTCGTATGGAACTTGATATAATTGTCTTCAATTAATTCCCACATTTTTAATTTTTGTTTACCATTACTATTTCCATTGCAATAGCAAAAGATGCCTCCCCAAAACTAAGTATAGTATTAAGTAACAAAGAAATTCCGTTAGAAACAAAGACTGCTGAGCTCTTATGTAATATTAATTTTTCTATATATCAGCGAATGCTCAATAACTTCATCACAGATGAAGAGGAGACTTGGGGCAACAAAGATGAGGTTCTACAGAAGGATGATGAGAATATCATAGATGTAAAATGTGAGTAACAAGGAAGTTTTAAGAGACATAGAAACGAAAATGACCCTTATACTTACAATAAGAAAAAGACAGTTAAAATTTCTGTAACATATGAGGAAAGAAAGTTTAAACAATTTGAGACTCACAGGATTTATTGAAAGCAAGAAGGTCAAAGGGAAACAGCGGACAATCTACGTAACGTGCTTGAGAAAATGGATAGCAGACCATGAACTGAGATGGACAGTAACTGGACAAACATAGCTTAGAGCTATGAAGGATAGGAAGTTGTGAAGAGCCATGACTCTAAAGGGACAGGGTACATGAAAGAAGAGGAATCCCTATAATTTTAATTTCGTTTTTTTTAAAACAAAATACACTGTTAGAATGAGTATAAATTTCCAACTACTTGTATATATGTTTCAATATATTCAATATTAAACTTATAGTTAATATCGCTGAATTATGGTAAATGGATACACATACAGGTCAATACATGAACAGGCTAGAAATAAATATATATAATAAAATAAGGCACGTATCAACAGTAATCAGAATTTTATTCAACACATTGTATTCTGTTTTGTATGGTAAGAGAAACCTGTATTCTCGCATGCGAACTATCCACCTATTTGAGGTAATACAAGAGTTGTAGGTGGGCTAGCTAAACGAGTGATGCATTGCCTCATTGTGCCTTGTGCATGTTCAATAAGGAACAATTATAGCAATTGAGCTGGCCAGAAAGTTGCAGAAAATGTTGCAGAGCATGTTGAGTAATACGGGTAACATGGGCAGGCATTATCCTGCTGGAACAGCCGATTGCCTTCTTGTTTTTGATATAACGGCAGAACGGGTTGAACTATATTCTGGACATGCATGTCGCTATTCGATGTCCCCTCCATAAAGCGAAAAGGTATCAGAGAAATGGAATTTATCTTCCTACACACAATAATTTCAGGGTTGTGTCAGTGTGTTGTGAGACATCTGGAATATATTTGCTTGATCTGTACGATGTTCTTTGTAAAGACTGTCTTTACAATGTATCGATTTGGAGAGCGTCCGTATTAGATGGTCGTCAGAAAACATATCTGCGGATGTAGAAATAATCATTGGGTTACAATTGCCAACATCGTAGTACAATTGAAATGTAACATTCAATATAAGCAGTAGTACTTGGTAAAATAACCATCTGACCACTCGAAGTTCTACAATTCGACCGATCTCAAACAGTACTAATTATGATAATAGTAGCATATCAGCGCCTCTGTCGAATGATATCTGCTTTCAGCATCCTCGATGTGCCATATCCATTCAGAACATTAACGTTCATGGTTCTCCACAATTTCCTGTCCTTTATAGCTCTTAGAAAATTTTGTCTTTGTGCTATCTCTCCTAAACCCTGTTCTGATATCAATTTACACAAAATCGTTAGTTTAGGTTATACGCCGTTTTCCCCTTGCTTTCAATATGTCCGGTGAGTGCCAAATTTTCCAAGCCCTCTTTCCTCATGTGTCCTAGAAATTTCAACTGTTTCTTTCTGATGCTAGATGTAAGTGTCCTTTTTGCTTCAAGTCTCTTCTTCATCAGTGAGGTGATTGTCCAGCATTTACTGCAATGTATGAAGACTGGTATTACATAATAGTTAAGTGCTCTTCTGTGTTTTTAAAGAAATGTTCTTGTTCTTTAGTAATTAGCTTAACGTTTTGGAAGGTATCTTTTACTATCCCAATGCGTCTCCTGATTTCGCTGTAGCATGCTGAACCTTATTGCAGCCGCCTTTACCGTCTAAAACACACGGTACATTGGTAGGAGTGTTACTAGATCACAAAATGACCGAAAAATTGTGATAGTTTTATCAGAATGTGTGCTTCCTTTAAGTGGATTTTTTCTGTGCGCCCTCATAGCTACCAAATGTGACACAAAATCAGTTTAAAGTGAGTTTAACAACAGAACAGTTGAAAAATTGCTCAAGCCTTTTCGGCGCTTCCCTGTTTGGCTACGCCGGGCAATGACCCCAACCCCTTCCCGAAGCTAAATATTAATTTGAAACTGTCTATATATTTCTGAGATGAGGTATTATGTACACTATTTACATTATTCGGACTATTGTCCACATCTTTGTCGCCATATTTATTACAACGTTTCGGCCGTTGTACACTCCAGCCTTCTTCAGGTAGTTGGAATGTCGAGCCGAAGCCTTTATTCGTTGATGAAGACATTAGGTTTATAATACCCAGAAATTTATACACATAGCACAGTGGATAAAGGCGTTGGTTAGATCCAGTGACAGGACCCAAAGTGTGTGAGTTCAATACCCAGTTAAGGCAGTGAAGAATTTGGAGATAACTGACATCCATTAAGCATGGCACGTGGAACTAGAAGCGAAATAAAGGGTTCAGTTCGACATTCCAACCACCTGAAGAAGGCCGAGACGTTGTAATAAATATGGCGACAAAGATGAGTAGAAACTACTCCATTCGAAGCCGGTGAATCGACTTCATTTAAGCATGCACGGAGATTAAATTCGAATCGTACTATAGAGTGCTGCATTTTTTTATTTTCCGTCAGTGTATTTTCATATTTTTTGAGACCTAATTTTCTCAGCGGAGGTTACATGAACTATTTCCGTTGGGAAAATGCCGGTCACGTCGCTATATTTGATACATGCTAACGACAATCTAACATCAAAGCATTTGTTATTACAGCCTTCCCAA